GGGAACAGTCTGAAGGTAAAGTGCTTGCCATACACTTTCAGGACAATCTAATCTGTTTATATCGACACAAAAAAATCATTTCTTGCAAAGAAGAAGCAGGATGGACATACAGAAAAAGATGCAGTATGACACAGAAGCTACACAATGCTAAAGTACTAAAGTGGAAGTTATTGTGGGGAAAAAAAGAAGAAGCAACACGATGTTTAAGTGGAAGTCACTGCAAGAAAAAAAAGGAAGCTAATCAATACAAAGGTGGAAGTTACAGAAACAAAAGCGCACCTGGCGACGTTATGCAAATAGCCTTCAATAAAACAATTTCTTCACGAGTGAGGTCCATAGCTTGAATTCGCCGGATAAAGGCCACGTAGAAACGTATGTTCTCGTCAAACTCTGGAAAGATGCCGAGGATTTCTTCATAATTGGTGGCTTGGTTCAACTCATTGATTATGATGTTGTTCCGGATGTCAAAACCACGAAAACTCCCCAGGACAAAACAGTCAATGAAGGATGCTGAAAAAAGAGATAACGTTTGAAAAAAAACCCTGAACCCCCCCCCCCCCTTCTAAACACCTGTCCTCGCGGTTTTATGAAAAAATTCTGAAATTATGTAAACTGAGCCCAAAAATATGAAATTATGCGATTCTGTTAATTTTGACAAAGAATGATAAAGAAAAATAATAAGAAATTATGCACAGAATGATCAAATTTTGCTAAATTATGCGAGGTGCATAAAACCACGGTGACAGAAAAACAAATTAAATCATTCAGAAGGCAAGCTGCTTCCACCCAACTGGCAGGACCAACCCAGGCTGAAGAGGATACAAACAACATCCCAACAGACAAACAGATGCACTCGATAAAGTAGCCTCTCCACACGAGAAATGAACGTACAACTGTGCAAAGAGCCTGACAATTAGACTACAGGCACTGGTAGAGAATCGCCATAGTGTTGCAATTAGCCATTTATTATTATTATTATTATTATTATTATATACAGTCCTGAGCGGGATACAGCATCCTAGTAGAAAAACAGAAATTTTTGACAAACTTTTGACACTTCCTTGTTCGTGCCCGAGTCAAACTCGAATCTTTTCCTTGCACTGACAAAGAGCTTTTAAACATAAATTTACATCACAGAATCTTGTACAGACGCTCATGAACTTGGCCGACGTGCGGTACACAAAGTTTGAATTCGAGACAAATTGAAATAACCTTTGTCCTCCAGTGTTTTCCCTGTATTTTAATGTATAATGATCTATATTGAATACTGCCGATTTGAAACGAACTTTTTTATGACTAGAAAATGATTGGGCGGTGCCCTTTCCCCACGTGTCTCTCCAGCTGACATTGTACAAGCCAGTGCTCATGCCACAGAGCATCTTCTAAACGTGCAGCTAAAGCAGATTTATAACAGTAGAAAGGAATATACAAACAAACAATAGATATATAAAGATTGAATGAAGATAATGTTACAGCGTCAAATGTGAAGAAAGCTCGCTGTCAGCGGTCGTGATTGGTAAGCCTACCTCTATTCCGATTTTTTCAATGAGACAAAGCAAATAAAACAATACAACCTCAACAGAAGAAGTACATAGTGGCTAACTAGCGCTCACCCACAACTAATGTAGAAGAAATACGCCAAGCATTATAAATTGAAAACATCACACCTCAAGGTCAATCAACAACTATAATATTTTCTGAGCTTAGGGAAAGCAAATTTAAAACAACACATTAAATAAACATGTGTGTTGTCCCCAGCTTTTAATGAGAAAAGAGCTGACGTGAGGCTTGCGGGCCCGTACGAGGCGACAAAATGATCAATTATGTAACGCCTCGAATCCTGATTCAGGGACACCTAAGCTGGTCCTCCAGTTCGGGGATTGGGCTCAGGGCTAGCACCACCTACCCCATGAAACAAAGCTGCTAAGAAGTCACCAAGCAGACTGTGAATTGTCTTCTGTTTAATCTGTCCCCAGGGTTTTATGCACCCCGCATAATCAAGCAAACTTTGATCATTTTTTGCATCATTTCTGATTTTTTTTTCTTCATAAAACTGCAGGGACAGTTAAATTAACAGGACATCACAGATCAGGGTGATTTAAACAACCAAAAACAAAACTTTACAACTTTCTGGAAATATTTTCCTCCTCACTGAAGTTGTTTGGCGTTTCAAATTTGTACACAACATTTGGAACTCAAAGGGAATTTGGCTGATGTTCATTTTAGATAAATCCACACAATAGTTTTGCTTTACATAGCGTGTAAAAAAACAAATACCCATTTTCTGCTATGTCCCCATTTTTGTTGCATGACGCACTAGTTCGCATTAGGCCTACCTCTAGCCTACTACTAAAACTCCCAGCGATCGCGCCATTGCAAGCTGCAGTAGTCCAACAGGCCAACATAAGTTTGCATAATATATAGTTTTTCTTTAGTTTCCTTTGCCAGCTGAGATCATGTTTCAGATTAGTAAAGAGCAGAAAGCTTTTTGTATCGAACATTACCTCTCCGCCAACTCATTTCGTAAGTTTTGCACAAAGTACGGAAACAATATTAAAGTGGCCTTACGGCCTTTCTTAATGTCAAGGGAAGAGATGTTCCATCAGTTAGGACCTGCAGAGAATCAGAAATAAAATTTCCAGACATACAACCACTTCAGGTCCAATACACACCATAATAATATGCACCTCTTTAAACGTCACCCGGGTGCAAAATTCAGTAAAAAGTCACATGAGACATGACATCTGTACGTAGACGATATCTGCAGCTAGGACTTCCTGCATCTCAACGCTCCGCATTCTCAAGGCAGATCTTCATCTATGACTGTACCATTTTCTTGTTTGGTAAGTTGACATGGATCAGAGGATCGCAATGTATTCATGATTCCTCGGTCGTCCTGAAAAGCGAGAACATTAATTCTTCGATGACATTTGGTTCCGTGGATAAGCCCATCCACCTATAAGGATATGCCAACTCCACAAATGCTGTCTATTGGGCAACCTCCCCCCTCACTACCCCATACTTTAAGGTGCACAGTGTGTGTGTCTGAGGCACTTATGGTTGGGTGGATCCTTGTGTTTGACCACCATTAAACATTACGAACGACGCGTTAAAATTTATCGAGTCCAAAGGAAAACATATGATTCTTGAAATTCCAAATTTTTTAAAAATCTCTTACTTTAAAATCTGTAAGAGAAAAGAAATATTGTTTAATTGTTACCGAAATGAAAAAGTTAAATTCTTAAAAGGAAAGGAAGGGGAAAAAAACAAATCAATCATTTCATGTATTTCCCTACAAGATCTTTTAAAGAAGTGCATTTTGCGTTTATGGGTGGTTTCTATAAAAGTCATTTCCATTGTCAAAAATGTGTTTCTTCCTTATGAATTTTACGTCAAACAAATTCCTTTGAATGAATTATATCAGTTCCCAACTTACAACATTTTAATTCTAGGCCATGTACATACATTTTTGTGCGAGATATTCTGAAAAAAAAGTTGTAAAGTTGTTGGGGGGGGGGGGG